CCGCTCCCTTTCTCCAGCCTTCCCGGCGGGGAAGTGAACCCCACTTCTCCTCCCCTCCGCGAAAGGACCGGCTCGCCGCAGGTCCTCCCGGGCCGTCCTCCAGTGCCACCGACCCCGCCGGCCCGGGGCTGCCTCTCCCGCGACGTCCCGCTGCTCCGGCCAGGTGCCCGCGGGCAGCGAGCGACCCCCGGAGCTCCGGCCGTGCCCCCCGTGCCCTGCCCGGCCTCACCTGCCGCCGCTCGCCCCATCCTCCGGGGCTGCTCCGCGTCCCGCCGCGCTCCCACCGGGCGCGGCCGCCGGCTCCGCCTCGCCGCGGGGCGGCCCCGCCACATCCCGCCCCGGCCCCGCCGCCGTCCGGCCCGGCCCGGCCCGGCCCGGCCCATGGCCTCCCTTCAGCCCCCCGTGCCCCGTCCCCTCGCAGGGGTCCCGCCAGCCATGGACCCTCCAGCCGCCCTTTGCAGCGGTACCCCCAAATTTCGCTTGACCCAGCTCCCCAGCAATCCATCAACCCGGGATCCCCCCTAATTCTGCCCCTCCTTCACAAGCCATAGTTCCCATTCCTTCATCATCCTTCCCCTCTCCATTCCCCAGAAAGAATGTCCCTTCCCAGCCTCTCCCTCTGCCCCGCAGAAGCCATGTGTCCCTCCAGTCCTGTCCGTGTCTCTCCAGTCCTGTCTGCACTCCATCACCAGCCCCCCAAGCTCCTGGAGAAGGGCCGGGCTGGGCTCTGCTGAGTTTGTCTCTCTCCTGGGAAGGGGAAAGAGCTCTGCCCGGCTGAACTGCCAGCTCCACTGGGGAAAGGATGCAGAGTGCACATTCTTGCCGGATGGGGATCAAAGGGCCAGCATCGCACTCCATCGCTGGACCCCTGATGAATTCCCTTCCTCCCACACAAGTCCCAGGCCGGTAAGGAGGAGCAGAGTCAGACATGAGCACTACATCCCTCAGAAAAGCAGTGCTGGAGAGGGGAGCTCTATTTTCACACTCTGTGTGCTCACTATGGGGTGAATTGGGTAAACTGAGGCACATGGAGTGTACCAACAGCTCTTTGCTTGGGTACTGTGGAGGTCGTAAGATGGGACCTGGGCTGAGCACGTCCAGTACTTTGGTGCCTTGTGCCCCAGTTCCTGGGGTGCCTTGGCCCTGCTGGTGGTGGTTCTTCCTTCCCCAGCTCACCCAAGGGACCAACCACCCTCTCCATGCTCCTCCTTGGCAGCTGCAGCCCCATGCTTTGCAGAGCTGTGCTGAGGGATGGGAAAGCCCCACTCCTGAAGGGGTCAGGGCTCTCACCCCAGCCTTGGGCAGCTTGTCTGCACCCTGATGCTTGGCTGGTGTTGCTCTTGCCGCCCAGGCACTGCATGCAGGCACACAGCAGGGCACACAGCAATGCCCTCCCTGGTGCAGATGTGAGCTGGCAGCTGGGTTCAGCTCCCCTGCTCCTGATGTTGCTGAGCATCTCTGAATGCCATGAAGGTGGGAGGACCAGGCCAGCGCTGAGTATCATGGAGAACAGAGATCCCACAGCCTCTCTGGGCTCCTGTGATATTTTACCACATGCACAAGGGGAAAAAAAAATTCCCAGTATGTAGATGGAGTTTCCCTTGATGCAGCTTGCATTGTGTGCCTTTCATGATTTTACTGTACATGTCCCCAAAGAGCCTGACTCCCTTTTCCTATAACTCCACCTAACTAGCTGCAGGCAGTCAGGAGTTCACCCCAGAGCCTCCCCTTCCCTAGGTCCAACAGGCTGGTGATCTTAAACCTCAGTTCCTCCCACTGCTCCAGATCAGTGATGGCAAATCTGTGATTGAGATGGGACCCCACAGGGGACCCCAGCTGCAGGTGATGGGTCTGTGTCACAGACATGTTTTATGAAAAAACCTTTCCTTAGGATTTTTTCTCCTGAGAAGCTGAGAGGCCTCAGGAACAAAATGTAAACAATGATTATCTGCTGCTGTGGAATGCAACAGGTGCATCTGGGATTGGTCTCATGTGGTTGTTTCTAATTAATGGTCAATCACAGCCCAGCTGTCTGGACTGTCAGTCAGTCACAAGCTTTTGTTATCATTTCTTTTCTATTCTTAGCTAGCCTTCTGATGAAATCCTTTCTTCTATTTTTTTTAGTAAAGTTTTAATATAATATATATAATAAAATAATAAATCAAGCCTTCTGAAACATGGAGTCAACATTCTCGTCTCTTCCCTCATCCTAAGACCCCTGCGAACACCATCACAGGTCTGCTCCCAGGCTCCATCCCTCTTGGAAAGGAGGTGCCTCAGCCTCAGCAGGACGTGGGCTGTGGGTTCCATCCCTGCCCCTTGCCCAGGAACTCACCAGAGGCAGTGGGGAGCAGGAGCAGCGATGGCAGCTCTCAGTGCTGGCGGGTCCCCCTGTCCCTCTGTGGGGAATCCCGGGACAGCCCCGTCTGTCACCTCACCTCCAGACAGGTCCCGCGGGGCCTCCCTGCGCTCCCGGGTGCCTCCACCCACACATGGCCTTCAGACGCTGACTCAGCTCCGGCAGCCCCGAGCTGGGGCCTCCATCGGAAAACCTGTGATGCCCGGGGAGCCCCGGGCGTGATGGAAACAGGCAGCTTCCCTCGGGGCAGCAGCATCCCAGCCTGCTCCTGGGCTGGGCCGTGTGTGCTGATGGGCAGTGGGCTCCTTTGTGCTTCCCCTACAAAAGCTGGAAACACAAGGAAAAAACCAGCCAGATCTGTGTTGTTTCCTCTTTCTCTTCAGGCAGGTTTTCTCAGTTTTTCTGCCGAAAAAAATATGGAGTTGATTCATCCCAAAATATGGAATTGATTCATCCCCAGTACCCTAGGGTGAGAGGGGATGTGCTGGGAAGAACGGGGCTGTTTGCCAGAGGTGCTCATGCAAAACCCTCAGCGCATTCAGGAGCACAGTGAGCATCAGTGCCAAGAGCCCTGAGCAGCAGTGGGGGGAAACTGAGGCACAGGGCACGGGATGGTCACAGAGTCACCCCCTGTGTGTGGTGCGAGCAAGGGAGGGACAGTGGGAAGATTGAGGGGCTCTTGCAACGCTGCTGCTTCACACTCGTGGGGGTTGTGGGTTTGCAGCCACCCTGGCAGCTCCCGCGCCCGTGGGGAGGGAGCGGTGCCAAGCACCTTCAATGGCCCGTTCCGGGTGACAGAGGCGAGCGCTCCTCACGGCCATTAGGGAGCAGCACCGCTGTGGCGCCTTGCACGCCCTGCACAGCCAGGCCACCGCAGCAGCAGGGCTGAGGACGGGGTGCCCAGGCACCGAGGGGCAGGGATGGTGGATTCCATCATCCCTGCATCTTCCGCTGTTCCCTGTGCGCCCAGCGCCCACCTGTGACCCCCTTTGCTGGGCCCTGGCACAGAGTAAGAGGCCCTTGGGGAGTGTCCACCTGCATCCAAGTTTGTCATAAGAGAGGGAGGGCAGTACAGGGCACACAGGGGCTTTGAGAACCCTCCCTGGGCCACAACCTTTGCATGGGAAGGAGGCGTGAGGACCCCAGTTGGTCGTGTGATACATGCTGGTAACACGTGTGAGGGGAAGCACCCCGTGAGCAGGTGTTTTGTGTGTGTATTTACAGATGTGCATGGCAGGGGGCTGTGTATGTCCTGGGAGACAGGGGAGGGAGCTCTGCCTCTGCGCGTTTTTGGGGTCTCAGTGTGACCATAGGAGAACCCTGAGTCAGGAGGCGGTTGTCCCTGCCCGTAGGAGGGGGATGCAGCTACTGGGGGGACATCGCTGTGTGTGCAGGGGTGGGCCCCTGTGCAGTGGAGAGGCTGCCGCGGCTTCACCCGCGGTGTCACAGATGGCAGGGGAACACCAGTACATTCCCGGAATTCCCGAAGCCCCGCCCCCTCCGCCGTGCTGCGGCCCCTTTAAGGGCGGCCCGGTGCGGCCGGGGGCGGGGCTTCTCGGATGACGTAATCGCACCCCCTGATAAAGCCGGCGGGATTCCCGGGGCGGCAGCGGCGGCGCGCGCCGGCGGGGCCACGTGCGCGGGGCGCGGCGGAGCCTCCCGATCCTGCCGCGCCGCCATGGAGTCCGCCGGTCTCTTCCCCCCTTTCCCCGCCGCCTCCGCCCTCCCCGCGCGGCCCGCGCCCGCCCCGGCGCCACCGCCCCGCGCGGCCGAGACCACCCGCATCATCATCGACCCGGTCTCCGGCCGCTCCTACTGCAAGGGCCGCCTGCTGGGAAAGGTACCGGGAATGGGGAAAGGGGGCTGGGCCGTCGTGGAGGGCGCCGGGGTGAACCGGTGTGGGCGAGGGGAGGGGCGGGGGCTGCGCGCCTGCTCGACCCCCATCCTGGGCGGCCCGGGCTGGATGCAGCCCCCCGGCTGCCGCCCCCACCCTCCCCGCCTCGCCCGGCGGGCCGGCAGCAGCGCTGGAAGCCGTGAATCACCCGCGCTGGCTGCGTGCCTCGGTGACTATCGGAGCCGCATCGGTTTCGGGGTGCCCCGCGGCGGGTGCGTGGGCCGGTGGGTGCCCCGGTTCCCAGGGGTGCCGGCCCGCGCCGCTCCGCCGCACGCAACTTTTCCTCCGGCTGACAGCGGCGTGTGTAGGAGGAGGATGCCGGTTCCCAGCCCGGCCCGAGTGGGCTCAGCGGCTGAGTGTGCAGATTGGAGGGTGACATCACGGCAGGAAAAACCTGTCTCCATGGGGCTGCCTTTCGATGGCCTCCGGTCCCCGGGCTTCCTGCCCTGCGCAGGACTTTCCAGGTTGATCTGTCATGTGGAAAGATGCAAAGTCCGGCCATAGTGGGAGGGAAAATGCTTGGAGGTTTTACAAGAAATGGGTGAAGAAAATGCCTGGTTGAGAGCATCATAGTTCAGATCTTAGTGGGCGACGCAGCAGGAGGGAGCGTGTGACGCTCGCCGGGCTGTGCTGCCAGGGAAGGGAGGAGGAGGAGGAGGCTTGTAAGCAGGCAGGGGTAAGGAGCTGTCTCTCACCCATCCGTAACCACCTCTTCCCTTGCAGGGTGGGTTTGCACGATGCTATGAAATGACAGACCTCTCCAGCAACAAAACCTATGCCGTGAAGGTCATTCCGCACAGCAGGGTGGCTAAACCTCACCAGCGGGAGAAGGTGGGTGCCGTGCGGCTGCTGGGGGGCTGGGCTGGGCTGCTGGGGGGCAGCAGCTCACCTGTGCTCACCTGGCACTGCTGCTCTCTGTCAGATCACCAATGAGATCGAGCTGCATCGGGACTTGCACCATAAGCACATCGTCAAGTTCTCCCACTACTTTGAGGACTCAGAGAGCATCTACATCTTCCTAGAGCACTGCAGTAGGAAGGTCAGTGCTGCTGTGGCCTCCTTGTCAAAGGATCTCCTAAACAGCCATAGCTGGTGGGAGCAGGCCTTGCCGAGGTGTTGTGTTAGCAGTCCCCTGAGCTGTCAGCTGTCTCACCCTCTGAGCTCACTGTAAGCAGAGTGGTTTTGCAGGGCACTGGACACTCCAGCAGCTGTCTGTCTGTCTCACACTGCCTGCTCATGATATGGCCACCATAAATCCAGAGGTTCCCATGGCTCTGGTGACCAGCCTCAACCTCATGTGGGGAGTCTGCTGAGGTCATGGCTGTGAAAGAAGGATTATTTGTGAATGTGCAACTTCTGGAAGAACTGGCTTTGACCCTGCCTAGCCTATGCCTAGTCAGCAGGGCTGCCTGTTCTCCCTGCCTGCATCACAAGCTGTCTTCTCTCCCGTTGCAGTCCCTGGCCCACATCTGGAAGGCCCGTCATACTCTGCTGGAGCCCGAAGTGCGCTATTACCTCAAACAGATCATCTCAGGCTTGAAATATCTTCACCTCAAGGGCATCCTGCACAGAGACCTCAAGCTTGGTGAGTGCTGTGGGTGGCACATGGTGTGTGTGGGGAGCAAGCTGTCCCCAAGGGACTTGTGGTGACGCATCGCCTTTGACTTGCAGGCAACTTCTTCATCAATGAAAACATGGAGCTGAAAGTGGGGGACTTTGGCCTGGCTGCTTGCCATGATGTCTCTGACCAGAAGAAAAAGTAAGTTTGAGATTTTCCTTTTTCAGAATCCTCCTGGGTTTCACTCTTCTTCCTGTGGCTTCCCAGGAGAGTGGAGGTGCAAGGGGTCCTGCCTGGTCTTGGGAGAGGAAGCCTTAGGGCCCTTTCCTGGGGTGAGGGAGCAATTCCTGCTCCAGCTGCAGGCAAGGCGAGGGGGCTGGGGGCTTTGTGGCTCCTCAGGAGTGAGCTTGCAGCCGTCGGGGAGAACAATGTGTTGACTATTGCTATTGTGCCTGCCCGGCTGCCGTGCCGGCTGCACAGGCTGGGACACAAAGGCTCTGTTCCTCCTCAGCTCTGGGACAGGCTCTTCCCAACAGCTCCCCAAGAGCAGCTGCTGCTGACCTCCGTGAGCTGGAGAGGGGGGAATCTGTATGGGGCTCCTTGTAGATGAAGGGGGGCCACAAAGAGCAAAATGAAGTGGGGAGGACAAGTGTAAATCCCAGGGCTTGGAGCAGGGGGAGGCTGTCTGTGAGGGGATGAAGAGCATGCACTGATCTGGTACTCTGCCCCACAGGACAATATGTGGGACCCCCAACTACCTGGCCCCAGAAGTGCTGCTGAGACAGGGCCATGGGCCAGAGTCAGACGTGTGGTCTCTGGGCTGTGTCATGTAAGTCTGTGCTGCTGGGTGGGGAGGGGTCCAGGCACCCTGCCTGGGGTGGGGGCAGCTGCTCTGTGGACAGCCCGATGAGGAAGTTTTCTTGTGCTGTGCCTTGTGGCTCTGCAACGGTTGCTGAGAGGCAGGGGGAGGGGAGCAACTGGCTGGATCCTGCCCAGCCTTACTTTGGAGCAGGTGCTGCCTGCAGCCATCCTGGGATGCTGTGTGGGGACTGTGCAAGCAGGACTGCACGGGGTGGGTGTGCTCATGCTGCACTCAGCTCTGGTTCAGAGCAGGCTTGACCGCACTGTGAACCTGATAAACAACGGAAAATCTCCGTGGCTGCTGTGCTGTTTGCTCAGGGAGCGATTGCTGTTTCGGCACATCCAGCCCCTGCCCCGGCCACTGCCTGCTCCCCTTTCCACCCTGATGGCCACGAGGGTGGGAGCAGCGGGTGGCTTTTGCCGCCAGCTCTTTGTCCTTCCTCAAGGCTCCTTGCCTGTTGCTCTAAACAGTTGCTAGGAGGAAGCATGGCCGGATGTGAGCGTGGCTGTTGAGGCTGGAAGTGCTGCTCTCAGCCAGGTGTGGCCGGCCAAATGCCAATAACTTCCTTGCTTTAAGTGCTGCTGAGTCACAAGCCTGGTGGGGATCTGACACTGGCATGCGTGTTCCCTCCCAGGTACACCCTGCTGTGTGGGAACCCTCCCTTTGAGACCTCTGACCTCAAGGAGACCTACAGGTGTATCAAGCAAGTGGAATACACCCTCCCTGTCTTCCTCTCCCTGCCTGCCAAGCACCTCATCACTGGCATCCTCAGACGCAACCCCCAGGACCGCCTCACCCTTGATGAGATTTTGGACCACGAGTTCTTCAAGGTGGGTGGGTGGGGGCCTGGGCCATGGGACCCCTCTCCAGGTGGGATGAGGTTTTTTGGGCTGTGCAGGGTGCCGTCCTTGTCCTGTACGAAGGGTCAGTCCTTCAAAGGAAGCAGCCGCTGTCCTGCCCAAATGCCAGCCAGAGGAACTGAGGGATCTGGTGTGCTTCTGCTGCCTTGTTGCTATAGCAAGGGGTTGTTTCCTGTGCTGATGCCAGTCATGGTTCTGAGGCTTGACGGAAACACAAGCTGGCTGTCAGGAGGGATGTGAATGACTGTGGTCAGCCCAGGGCAGCTGGAGCATGTGGTCTATGGAAACCAAACCTCTCCCTTGACCTCTCTGCAGGGCTACACGCCTGAGAAACTCCCTCCCAGCAGCTGCGTGATGGCTCCAGAACTGAGTCCCCCAAATCCTGCCAAGACTCTGTTTGCTAAAGTCACCAAGACACTCTTTGGGAAGAAGAAACCCAAGGGTAAGTTTGTGCATTGCCAAGAAGCCTCTGGGTGACTCTTCCTTTGGGAAGAAGTGGATCCTGTTTTCTGGAGAGACCTTCTGATGGATCTCTCTGGACCCCCTGCCTGGGGACAACACAAGCTGGGTGTGCCCCTGCCTTCTTGTGCTGGTGGGCTAGCATGGGTGTGTGCCTGGAGAGCGGATACTGTGCCACAACCCATGGGGCAGTTCCTCCTGGAAGCCCTGAGTTGCATGAGAACTGGGAAGTGAAAGTGGGAGACATCTGTCTGACACCCTGTTGTCTCCATGGGCATGGGAATAGATAAGGGAGAGCTGAGCTACTGGGAGGGGTGGCCTGGATGTCCCCAGCCTCTATGTTCAGCAGCATACTCATCTCTTGCTCTCTCCTCACTCTCCTCAGCCAAGAAGGGCTCTTCAGAGGAGAGGGATGACATCTCCAAGCTGGTTACTGGGCTGATGAAGACCTCAATCTGTCGGCAGATGAGCTATAAAACTGTGGAAGGGAATGAGGTGAGAACATCTCTGAGGCCATGCATGCTCTTTGGCAGAGCAGGCAGACCATGATAAAGCTGAGTCTCTCCACAGGCCACTCCTGTGTCGTGCCGCAGTGCCAGCTCCAGCCCCGTGGAGACAGTGGTGGAGGAGACCTCTCACAAGTCTACGTCCCCCTCCATCCGAGGAACAATGGCCAGCAGCTGTGAAGGTGAGCAATACCTGTGCCAGCCACCCCAGCCTGCCCCAGGCTTCCTGTCATGCCGGGGCTGATAGCGGGGCTGGCTGACTCAGCCTGTCATCCTCTCCCGCAGCCTTTGAGGATTGCGTCACCGCCTCTGCCATCATTGAGTCAGCTGTCCGGCTCCTGAGGGCCTGCCTCTCCTCCATGCCTCCAGGTAAACTGGTTGGACTGCTCTGGGATGGGGTAGGGGGCTGTGCATCCCCTTCCCCCTGGGATGAAGGCATGGCTGCTACTTGGGGTACAAATAGCACCCTAAATGGTGCCAGAGCCTGCTGCAGGGATCCGTTCCCCCTGGGGAGGTGAGACAGACAGGAGCTGGCTGGCTGCTCACCTCCTCTCTTCTCCTACAGCGGAGAAAAACCCAGCTTCCCTGGCCCGCCATGAGCACTTTGTCTGGGTGAGCAAGTGGGTGGATTATTCCAACAAGTATGGCTTTGGCTACCAGCTCTCCAACCGCAGCATTGGGGTCCTCTTCAACAATGGCACGCACATGACGCTCTCTCCCAACCACAGGTGAGTGGTGGGAATGGGGCTGATCTGTCTCTAGGGGAGCCCCTTGGGTGGGAAGGGGAGTCTATAACATCCCCAAAACTCGTGCTCTGCTCCCTCTAGGACTGTACATTACAACCCAACCAACAGCAAGCACCTGGTGTTCTCTGTGTCTGCCATCCCCGAGCAGCTGCAGGGACAGATGAGTGTCCTGCGCTACTTCGCCTCCTACATGGAGCAGCATCTCATGAAGGTGAGTGCTGGGACCCAGGGCTGCACTTTGGGTCATGGTTTGACCATACCACTTGAGCTGGTTGGACTCCCTGCTTGCAGCTCTGGCCAGGTGGGCACACAGGGCTGTGTCCTGGGAGTGGGGACTCCACTGAGGGGGTACCCAGCTTTGGTGTTGTGTGTGCTGCTGGAAGTGCTCCCGTGTGTGGGACCAGTGACTTATGCAGACTGTTCTCCCAAAGGGAGGTGACCTGCCCAGCATAGATGACCTTGGGCAGCCAGCCCTCCTCCTGCGGTGGGTGAAGACTGACCAAGCCTTGCTCATGCTCTTCAGCAGTGGCACCCTCCAGGTATGTGTGGGGCACAGTGGAGATGCCCAGACCTTTGTGAAGAGGAGGCCAGATGGCGGTCTTTGGGTCTGTGTTGGATCTTGTCTGCCACAGCCCAAATGGAAAATTGAGCTGTGAAAACAGCTGTGGGTGCAGGATGCTGCTCCAGTGCCTGGAGCTGCTGGTTGCAGCTTCCCCAGCCCATGAAGGGACATAGCACTTCAGCTGGATGCTTGTGCCTGCCCCTGTGCTAGGGCTGGCTCATTCCTGCCATGGGGCATGGGCAGGGATGCTCCCAGGCAGGTTGGGGAGGAGGAACGGGTTGAGGCAGGAAATGTAGCTCCATCCTGGCTCCCGACATGCTGTGGGAAGCATGGCTTAAACCAAGCCCAACCTGTCTCCTAGGTGAATTTCTACAACGACCACACCAAGGTGATCATTAGCAAGCCTGACCACTCCTGCCTTGTCACCTACATCAACCGGGAGCGCAACTCTTACACTTACAAGCTGTGCAGCCTCCAGGAGCTGGGCTGCTCTCCTGAGCTCCACCACCGCCTCAGATACATCCTCAAGCTTCTCCAAGAATGGGCTGAGGCCTAGCCTGGGACCTCGGGGGACCCTGTCTGGACTTGGAGGTTTCCCCCTGCCCTCCCATGGGATGGGAGGGATGATGTGGTGCTGGCTATCCCCCTGGGCACTGTGTATCCTGGTGCTCAGCTGGACTCTGGACTAAGACATATGGATGTGGTTACAGCAGCGGGTCTGGATATCCTTGCTGCTCCCTGGCTCTGGGCAATCGCTGTCTTCCCCCTGGCGTCTCCTGCTCTGGTGGTGCTGGTCTTGATGGAATGGACTGGGGTGTTACAAGGAGGTGGTGGTGGGTGAGTGTCCTGCAGCTGGGTTTGGGGCTGACTGGGCCTTGTCTGAGGCTGGCAACTACTTGTGGTGGAGGCTCAGGCTCCCCTGCCCCAGCTGATGCGTCAGTTGCACAGACCCTCTGCATGGCCTGGAGATGGCTGCCACAGCCTTGATCTCAAACTTTGGGTGCTGTGGGATAGGAAAACCCCTTCCCAGGAGTGGGCAGGGGTGAAGGGTGCTGCCTGCCCTGCCAGGGGCTCTGTGGGCTGGTGTGTGCCACTCCACAACTGTTACACTAATAAGGAGGGAACTGTGCTGGGCCCAACTGTGCCTGGTCTCTTCCCATATTTGTGAATTGTCTGGTACAACCTGAGGTTTGATAAAGGGTGGGGCATGGGATCTGAGGACTTGCCTGGAGAAGCCCTCATTTTGTTGGGATCCAGGGTTGTTTCTTATTTCAAGGCAGTTTCTGCCATGTGGGACTATTTATGTATCTTATTTATATGGAATTATTTATTTTCCTGTTGGTCTGTCCTTGTGCAGTTCCCCTCCCCCTGACTCGCCTCAATAAAAACTTATTTGTGTAAGGGCAAACTATGTCTGCCTTATTTGAAACTGGAGTCATAAAAAGAGCTTCAGCATCATTCTTGCTCCAGAGCTGCTTCTGCCTGTTGGGGATGACCCTTCTTGCCACTGACTGGTGCTGGGGGATAAGGTCAGGGAGGCAGGATGGCTATGTGGAGCCCATGTGCTACCTCCACTGCTTTCATGGGACTGGCACAAAGGACAGAGTTAGCTCTTGCTTATGCTGGTGGAGCCTTGGAGCTGCCTCAACTTCTCCTTGCTGCTGCCAAATGCATTCCCAGTCCTTTCTGCACTTGGACCCAACCCAGCTGCTCTCCTGACTCTGCTGAGCTGCAGAAGGCAGGAGCTATGACCCAGGTGGTGGAAGGGTTGCCTGGGCCCTTGCACTGACATCTCGTGTGATGGGATATGAGCTGGGCATGAAGCCAGGAAAGAGCTCTGTGAGCTTGCTTTGAAGGTGATCTGTGTAATCAATCTGCCTGGGAGCAGCTTGTGCTGTGGGAAGCAGCCTGGACTGCTCCAACAGCTTTGGGCAGTTGCCTGTTCCAGGGAAATCCAGCCTTTTGTTGTGTTTGCTGCCGCTTGGATCTTTTTGCAAGCCATAGTACTGGGAACTGCAGCATGGGTGTGAGCCAAGGCTGGAGTGAGCACCCATATCTTGCTCCCTGCACACACCCTGGCCCAAGACTCCAGGTATGACACACAGCTGGACAAAACTTCTTTATTTCAGCTGCTCTCTCCCTACAGCTCTACAAAACTGGGTGGACAGAGAGGCATGTTCTACTCAAAGTAGACCCCGTAGACTGTGGCCACGGCAAAGAGGGAGGCGTTGGAGAAGGTGGCAGAGGCAAAGCTGTCGGTCTCAGGGTCCCACAGTCCCCGGCTGGCCACCACAAGGCTCTGCTGGCCCTGCTGGCCCAGCACCATGTGGCAGACCAGCTTGTAGCGGGGTGGCACCACCTCCTTGGCCTGGTTCTGCAGCAGCTCAGTCAGGCTCTGGGCTAGTGGGGCACTGCCCTGGGCACTGTACACAGTGGTCCCCAGGGCACAGGCCAGGGTCGCTTCCAGCACCTGCTGCACCCGCTTCGCATCGAACTTGCAGCCTTTGTCCGGCCCAATCCTGTAAGTGTTTTCAAGGCGGGTCTTGAGGATGGGTTGGGAAATTGGGAGCCCAGAGAAGCTGACACGTCTGTGGAGCATCCAGGGGCCAATGGAGGGCCGCCTGCTCCCCGGGACGATGCCGAAGGAGCTGCGGCGGCTGAGGATGGAGTTGCGGCGGGAGAGCAGGGGCGGAGCTTTGCTGTCCTCAGGGCCCCGGGCTGGGGCTGTGGGCTGGGACCCACGGCGTGTACTGCGGAGTGCAGGGGCCTCGGTGCTGGCTGCAGCCAGCACCTGGGCTAGCAGGGCTATCTCTGGGATGGGCTGCTCAGCCATAGGGGTGGCCTGCAAAGGAGATGTACCTGGGTGTTAGGTGAGGCAGGTGTCCTGTAGCCTCTCCATTCCCCTGCCTCATTCCTCCCTGCCCTCTGCAAATCCTGTGCCTTCTAGCATGCGAGTCTCCATGAGACAAGATGCAGAGGGGCTGGGAGAGCCATGGCAGCTGTCTTCCCTTCTCCAGTGCCTCTGTGCCCATCAGACTCAGCCAGCTGGGGCTGATCCAGTGCAGTAATGTATGGTCCACACAGCCCTCTGCTCTCCCATCTCCAGCCCTTCCCCCAGCACGGGTGAGTGACTCTTTCCCCAGTGTTCGGTCTGCATCCCACACTTACCCTAAGTTCTATTCCTGTCCTTCCAGAGTAAACCCAGGGGACTTGTCTCTGATGGATGTCACTGCCCAGGACCAATCTTTATCTTGCAAGTTGTTGTGAGCAGGGCCAAACCTGCTGTGCTCCTGGAACAAACCTGTTGTGCTTCTGGAAGGTGAAGTGTTGCTACGTGACACTGTAGGTCTCCAGGGCTGTTCTGGGGCATGGCTTCTGTAACTCCTTGTTTCCTGGTCCCTGGACAGCCCTGTTCCCCTTCACTCCTTCCCTCTGCATTTTTTGCTGTGTCAGCACAGGGATGTGCCCTCCAATGCCTGCACTCCAGGCATGTGCCCTCCAATCTCAGCTCCCTGCCAGCCCTGAAACATGCAGGCTGGTGTTGGATGTGCAAGCGAAGAGCAGGGGGTGGAGAGTAGCCACTGTGATCACTACTTTGTGCCCTATGGGCTGCACTGGGCTGGGCCCTCCAACAGCTTGACTTTACTCAGACATTTGCATCTTTAGGCTACTTATGCCCCACTGCACCAAGGGACAGTGTGAAGTGTGCGTGGGTTTGCACCCACTGAATCATATACATAGTGGGTTGTGTTGGAAAGGACCTTAGAGATCATCTAGTTCCAAATCACCTGCAATGGGCAGGGATGCCACCCCTAGACCAGACTGCTCAGAGCCCTCTCCAACCCAGCCTTGAACACTTCCAGGGACTGGATGGAGCACAGCCCTGGCGTGTGCCAGGGACCCTGCTGCTGTAATGCCTGGGGGGTGAGCAGGTCCCTGGGGGCTCCTGACCCTGGCTGGCGTTTCTCTCTGCCAGTGGAGCCCAGCCCAGCTGGTACGACACGGCTGTTCCATCAATGTGCCTTTGTCTGGCCTGGCTGCCGAGCTATTTGAAGAAAGTGGAGACAGCACTTGTGTTTCTATCTCCAGTCAGAGGTATTTATAGCCTGCCTCTGCCTAGTGCTGCCAAGCACACTGCCAGCTGGACCCCTTCCCTTGGGGTGCCGCCTCAGCTCCGAGCCCCATTCCTGCCTTCCCTTGCACCACCCACTGACAAGCAAGGGTGGATCCTTCCATGGGTAATCCCCTCCTTGGGCTGCTTGAGGCCAGCCAAGGGTTGGAGAATGGCACAGCCCTTGGTTTGGGCTTAGGTGAGAGGTTGCTCTAGGGGGTTGATCTAGTGCGTGGCATCCCTGCCCACGGCAGGGGGGTTGGAACTAAATGGTGCCTTCCCACACAAGTCTTTCTACAAGGCTGGTGGTGCTTTTTTCTGCCTGAAAGCACCTGTACCCTAAGCAGACATGAGAGCTGCAGGGCTCTGGCCTGGGGCATCGCAGGATTGAAGGCTTCCCCCATTTCAGAGGACAAATCTCCATGCTGGGCTCTAGTCTGCTCCAGTGCTGCTGCTGGGGACTCAGCCATGCCCAGCAGCTTTCCATGGGGGGTGTGCAGGTGGAGGTGAGGGTGATCTCCATGCATGTGCTGCCTTTTCCAAAATCCCAGCTGCCAGCCTCTCTTCACCCCCGTCTCTCTGCTCCGCAGCAAAGCCGCCAGCAGCTCGGGCCGCATCGTCCCCGTGCCAGGCGTGCCAGAGCCAAGCCCCGAATCACGGCAAGGAATTCCACTCGCTGCAAGAGGCGGATCAGCTTCCCCATCCGGTGAGTGCCGGACGGAGCCGCCTTGGCAGCACGGCTGTGCTTCACGCCTCATTGTCCCATGGCTCCCTCCCACCGCTCCCCGGCAGCCCGGCCTCCAGCCCCGGCGCTGCCTGCCAGGTTTCCCTAGCAATGGGCCGTGCCGTACGACGCAGCCTTCTGGCTTCCTCCCCGCGGCCTCCCCGGGCTGGCCGGCCTCCCGACAGCCTCCGCATTGCCTGCCGCCATCCTCGGGCCTCCTCCCGCCGCCGCGCTCCCTGAGGCAGCCAGCCCATGGCCGGACCCTGCTCGGCGCGGCTGCAGGGCGACGTGGCCGCCTTCAGCGCTGCCCTGCGCACCCTGGTCAACAACCCCCAGTTCAGGTGAGGGCCCGGGGCGTGCCGCCTCCCCCCGACGCTCCTGCTGTTTTCCCGCAGCCCCGAGCCCTCCGGCTGGGGCCATTGGGGCCCGCAGGGAATCCGGGGAGCCCCGGGCAGCTGGTGGGGCCGACGTGGCTTGTGCAGCGCTCCCCACACATCCGCATGCCAACAGGCCACCAGCGCTGGCCCGGTGTAGCCCACCCTGCACAGCCATCCTCTCTCAGGGGGAGGGAAAGTTCCCGGGTCTGTCCAGACCCCCTCTGTCCCCAGGCATGGTGCCAACAGGGCAAGGCAGTTTCCCAGGATAAATCCTGTGCTGGGCTCTTGCCCTTGTCAGGAATGGGGGTACATTGAGCTCCCCAGGAGCAGTGCTCAGTTCCTCTCCCACCT